TTGGGAACCAAATTTAAAATAATATTTTTTGTTTATTTATAGAAAAATGAAAAATGTGTAAATTTGCTTTTAGTAGTGATGTACAAAATAGTGCGAAGCGTTTTAAGAATATGTATTTTAAAAAGGACTATGCCAGAAATAGATTTGGAATGGTTCGCAAGAAGGATTGAAGAAAGTTAATCCACTTGCTGTGAGCTTGATGTGTAATGCATTAAATGGTTTATTTGGTAAGTCAACTACTAGCACGTTGGTGGCACGTTGGTAGCACGTTGGTATATTCTTTATATACACCGTTAAAAAATTGTTAAAAACTAAAACTAACTAAGAACTAAATGCTAAAAATAAATAATGCCTCAGGCAAATGGCGGATGGTATTTCTAAAAATAAATAATGCCTCAGGCAAATGGCGAATGGTATTTCATATTACAACTCAACAAAAAAATTGGGTGGAAACAAAACTGTATTTATTTTAAAACACGGATATAATTTTTTAATATTGTAAACGTAATTTTGTACGTTCAAGTTTCTTTATTGCGCATAAAAAAATACCTCGGTTTCGGAGATTGCTAAAAATAGTTTATTATAATATTGCTAAAAAAAACATACATATGTATTCCATCAAGGCTAACAGTTTTGCAAAAATTCAGGATTTTCCAAACGTTTCCCATCTAGTGCCGTCTTTCCCTAATTCTTAAAAAAATAGTAATTTAAATTCTATTTGTTTTTTTAAAAAGTCTCTCAAACAAATATAGTTTCTCCGGGATAAATTATGTGGTTCACAACAGCTGCGCACAGATGATTTAATGATGTTTCAGATATGATACTTTCAGGTATTTTTAAAAACTTTAAACTTAAGTGTGTTTTTCCAACAAAAATAAAATAATTTTTTATCTTGCTCTAGAACAGTACGTAAAATTTAACGCTGAATTAAACTCCTAATCCATTAATTCCAAGTAACTACAGAGTTGCTCACAATGTTAAGTATACTCTTTTACACGTTTAAATTTATTCTATGTAGGTTTAAATTTGGAATGAAGCCTTGACACTGTTTATTAAACTGAATTTTACCTGTTAGAAAAACTTGGATGATAGGAATCTTGGGTAGATAGGTAGAAGTTTTTTGTTTAGCAAATGCTAAGTTATACTCAGTTGCAAGAGTATGGCAAAACAAGCGACATTGGCACGGAAGGAGGCGTGAACTTCCTGTTAAATGCTCTCCCGCGGTGCTCTATGATAAGACCGTAAGGACTTCTGGGAGCACCTAAATACATACAATACAAAAAAAAAAAAAAACCTAGAATTTGAGTTTGACAAAAACAAGAATTTTTTAGAATTTTTTTTTATTTTGTTAACATTAGTTTGTCTTTGTACAATTATATAATGATAATAATTAAAATCTTTCATAAATTTACAATGATAAACAATATAAACAAGGTAACTGAAAAAAGATCACGAAGATCTTGTCGCAAGAACTTTAAAGCCGTTTTTTAAAATGCAGTAATTGACTTCTTTCAATCACGAGATAAAATAAAGTAATAAACTTTTTAAAATGATGAACGAAAATAAACTTAATAAAGTATATAGATTAATACAATAAACAAGATAAACTGACCTAATGTAAACTGTAAAATAAACTAATGATTAATAATAATAGAAAGTTAAAAATTTTAAGATGTTACTATTGGTAGTGCATAAGTACGTTGTCCATGGAAAAAATGAAACTTTTAAGTTTCGCTTTAAAAACAAGAAGAAGTCAAATCAAAATTTGAAAAATAACTTTTTAATTCCATGGATATGGTGCACTGATTAAATTTAGTTCAACAAAAAATTTGATTTAGTAAATTATTATTTCTAAAGATATATTTATTGACAGGTTTTAAAGTAAAGCTATTTTAAAAAATGTTTGAAACTAAATTATTTTTCCACAAATATACAAAACATAAGACATCAAATGCATTTACTTCATATATATTAAGTAATCTCATTTCGTTGAATAAAAGGCTTTGAATGAGTAAGATGATCCGCAAAATTAAGAATACAAATAATGCGATGGTTACAAAGATGTTTCAATCTATTTTTATCAGTACTTCCCCAGGCAATATATGCATAGCTTAAATAGTTATGGATAAACGAATAATTAAGTTGGAACAAGCTCTTTTTATTTGAATAATCTCTAGTATACAAAATTCTAATATTTTCAGAAATTTTGGAACAAATGTGATCCATCTGATGATACCATGTAATGTGTTCATTCAGGTAAACTTTGTAACGCAGTCCCTTTTAATCTCCATTTGATCAATATAAATTGGAGACTTATGGGTAGATAGCGTTTTAAACGAGTGGAAAATAAATAAATTATATAAAATAATATTCTTTGTTTTATTAATAACAAAGTTATTTTGTTACATTTGAACCAGGTAAATTTGTTTTTAAGCTCATCATTCATAGTAGATGAATGATGAGCTTAAAAAAAAATTTTAAGCTCATTATTCATAGTAGAAAGAAGTTTACAGATATTATTAAAAAGAAACAGGTTGTCCATATCGTCCGCAAACAAAATACAAAGTAGATTTGAGGCTTTATTCAAATCATTAATATAAATCAAGAAAAAAAGTCACTCTAATATAGAGCCTGGCAGAACACCACTAATAAATCCCTTTTGATAAATATCGATACTGGAAACATATTGTTTTTGGTTCGATAAAAAACTTTATTGCCATGCTATTTATTCCATAGTATTTAATCTTATAAAGTAAGATGGTATGATCTACTGTATCAAATATCTTTGAAAGGTCAATACCAAGTGTGTATTGGAAATTTTCAAAAGATTTTGAGATTTCATGTAGGAATTAAATGTTTGCATGTTTCGCAAAACTGTGTTTTTTAAAGCCAAGTTGATTACTATACCTAGACTGTTAGGATAGGAAAGTTCATGCAACGCCCCCCCCCCCCACCCGAAAAAAAAAAAAAAAAAAAAAAATATATATATATATATATATATATATATATATATATATATATATCTTATTTTATTAAAGGATCAAAATATTCGCCATTATTATTTACGGATAGTTGCATCTTTTCCAACCACTTCCCAAATGTTTTTCTATAGTCGTCAATAGGTATCTCCATAATTTGTCTTTTTTGACTTTCAACGTCCGTATGATTGTCAAGATGAGTTTTGATGCAATCAAATAGCGAAAAATCTAATGGAGCTAAGTCTGGCAAGTAAGATGGGTGGCAAACTATATTGAATATTTTTTCATTTTCTGGTGATTTTGTTTTTAAATATATTTAATATAATTTCTGCTTAAGCTTTGTTGAGTTTTTAAATTCTTTAGTGATCAATATAAGTTTATATAAGTTATTTGGGTTGATTGCTTTTTCATTAAATGGAAAATTGGCAGCGTAGAAATAGTTCAACGTGCTGAAAAAATTGTTTTAAGTAGAGTTAAATAGAGCGTTGTTATTAAAATTTATATGCTTCCAATGAAGCAAAGATAATGTTATTTAAACTGGTTAAACAATAGTTAACATTGTCTGGTTAAAGGAACATTGTCTAAATATTTGGCTTTAATCTTTGTTGAGGGCTATTATGTGCTAAGAATATAAGAAAGTTTTTGTATATCATTGTTAAGGATATCTGTTGTAATGATATCATCGGTACGAGTAACGCTCCTTACTCAAAAAAGTCGAAAAATTTTTTAACTTTATAATCATCATTATAGAAAAAAGCATTTTTGATGAATATTTGAGTGGGTTTAGGTCCCCTTAATTTTACTCCTTACCCCATTTGTGACTATTGTCTTTTTTTTTTTCCTATTTTATAAACGCTTATTTTTATTTTTATAGAAAAAATACTCTCGAATAAAAAATTTTTATTCGAGAGTATTTTTTCTATAAAAGAGAGGGAAACATTCTCATTTGGCATAATATAAATATACTTAATTTTGGAGTTTGCACAATGCCTGAAATTGTCATATGTGAAACATCAAAAAGTTCTTTTTACGCAACTTGTTACGCCTTTGTAAAAGTACCTGCTACAAATAGTTTCATTTGACTATCTAGTTGTAGTTTTAATTTTTTTAATTATTATTTTCAACTTTTCGTTTTGTATGTATTTTTGAAATATTATAAACAATATCTAAATTCTTTCTTATCTGTTATTTACGCGTGTGATCATGTTATTCTCTGTGTGGCGCTTTTCTCACTCTCCATGAGTTAACTTCAACAATAAATTAAAAATTGGTATAAATTCAAAACTTTTTTAAATCAGATTATTTTAAAACACAATTGCCATGCAGCGATATCGCATTACACCGATATGAGACTTGATAATGAACTATAATAATGTAATAGCATTTTTTTGTTTCTGCCAGATTTTTTATGCAAGTTGACATTTAATTTTATACATTCAAAAAAAACTATTATTCTCAAAGAAAACCACGAGTAAAATATATTTGTTTGACAAAGATTTATCGACGCCGTCGGGATTCTATCGAGTTTTAAAACGTAAAAAGAAGCAAAAAGTCAATGTCAAAAACCAGAAAAGATTTTGTTCAGGAAACAACAAAATTACGGAACGTAAAAAGTTTTGGCTCAGCTACATTCAAAAGATGGGTGTCAATTAATTAGCACTTGTTTTTTTATGCTTGCATTTTTTTTTCGAATTAGAATTATGTTATTTAGATGAAAGAAGCTAATAAAATTTTACCTTTTACTTTTTTCCGTAAAGTATTTTTTTTTTTGAGGAAGTTTTAAAAGATAGTTCATTGAATCAATTTTAGCTTAAAAAGTCAATGGAGTTGCCGAAAATATATGACTAACCTCTATATGTAAATATGATTATGCTATATAATATATTATAGCATTGAAATAATATCATTAAGGATCATGAATAAATTAGATAGTTCTTATTTTGAAATGCGTGATCTCTAGTAAGCAAATTTATTTATCATCGCAAGTTTATTACTATTTCATAAAAATATAATGAATGACAAGACAACAGTGTTTAATAGGTATGAAGTCCATTTTTTTATAGAATAAAGAAATTAAAAATCAACAGTTTATTATCGTGGATTAGTGTTTTGCTCAAAAAAAAATTGTTTGAATTATAATATACATTTTTTTTTACTCGTTATTTTTTTTGTAATTAAATAAATAATAGACTTTTATTCTAAAATTTGAAAAGCTTTTTTCAAAGTTTAGAAAAGAAGTTGTATCAATAAATATTATTAGTTAATTAGGTCTTTGACTATCTTCATTATTTTTTAACAAATATTTGTACGATGGCATGATGTCATTGCTGATTGTTAAATTATATGTTGTTCCAATTTGGAGCTTTTACTAGAAAACTTTAGATTTTTTATTCTGAAAATTAAATGTAAACAGTCAGTAGAAATAAGATATAATGCTGGATGAATAAAAAGTGTAAATTTAAAAATGTTGTTTATAAATATATAGTCACAGCTAAGAATCTTTGTTCTGAGCTATCAGAACAGAGAAGTGCGGCAAGTATATTCTCAGGATGAGTCCAACAGGATTCACTTTTTAGATAAGGTTTAGAGGCTTCTTTAACCTTATTATCTTATTTCTGCCTAAGTTGAAATTGCTTTAAAAGATCACCAGAACTGCATTTAAAGCCATGGTTTACATTAATCTCAAAAAATATTGCACGATAAACCTTTGTCACCCAAAGTTGCAATCAGCTATAAGGTCTCTGCATTCTCAGGTTTAAGATCATGCTCGATCATATATTGAAGCAAGCATCTCATATCACAAGAAAACCATCGACTATGAGATAATCTACCATATTTAAGAGCTGCTACTTTAGGATCAAGGTTTCCTTTTAATATTGCATTCAAATACTTCAATGCAACTAAACTAGAAAAAATCTTCACTGATATTAACTAAAGGCTCTAGAAGGGGAGGTAGCATAAATTTAGTAATTTTTTCAAGATTTTCAACTTTAGAAAATAGTTTACCAAATGCTCCACACCATATTTTTTTGTTTTTTCTTTATTTTTCTGAAAATGTTAAATGTTATAAAGATAGGGAAAACTAATAATAATTTGTTATCTATATATGCTATTATATATATATATATATATATATATATATATATATATATATATATATATATATATATATATATATATATATATATTATCATTATATCATACATTTTTGACCCATTTGTGCTGCCTTATAACATTATTTAATTTAATTTTTTTTTTTCTGTATTTGTTCTCACAAAGACTAAAATAAAAAAATTAGGCACTCTTTCTGTATATTTTTTTCCTCAACGCTCGAAAAATTATAGAAAAAGTAATAAAGTAGACAAAAAATTAAATTTCCATATTTTAACAGTCTTTTTTATTACAAAGTCCACTTAATTAGTCAAATTATAAATAAGTTATCAAAATATGCTATATTATTGAAATATGCTATATATAAAGTAAGGTGGATCAGCTTTCCTCTATTAATATGCTTTGTCCTCCTGCAACTTTCAACAAGTGAGAAAAATAAAATAAACTCAATATTAGACCTTTTTTAAATTATTAACAAATTGTTGTTTCAAAATACTATTAGTTGTGTTTGATGCTAAATCTGTTTTCTTTTCCTCTTGCTTACTTCTTTTGTAAAAATGGACAAACAAGAACAAATCCTGTCGTTTCTTCTCTTTTGTTGTTTTTCCAATCAGTTCTTCAACTAGTTTAATTGTGAAGGGATCTTAAGCCACTGGAACTCACTCTTTCCATGTCTAATCTTATCAAAGATAAGCCAAAATTGCTCAGTTACTAGAGCACTAAGAAATGGAGACTGATCTTGTGCAATATTTAGCAAGTGAAGAAACTCTTTATTGACCATAACATGTTCTAGTGGATATAATTTAGGTTTTGCAGGAAGTGTACTGTACAATGCTTTGGCAATATCTTCTCTTTTTGGGCAATGTTTATCTGCTAAAGCAAGTACAATTATGGCAGTATCAAGATGTGCCTGCCAAATGGTTTTATTGCTGAAGTAGCTCCATGAAGATTTGTATCCATGAACCGATTCATCTGCCACATTGCTTTCATGTCCTAAAAAATATTTTAATAAAATTAAATTAATTCATCAATCAAGCAATTAATTAATCTTTTTTAATCTGTTTTCTTATTGTTTTTAATTATTTTTAACCTGATATGAAGTAGCAGTTGCAGATACTGCTCTAAGGAACCACTGAGTGTAAAAGATGTCTACAAACATAGCCATATCTTTTTTATATTTTCCTCTGATAAGTTTGGAATGATTTCTAACAGTTTATACAATTTAAGGTAATACAATTCTTTTGCCATAATTCTTGCATGATGCAACGGACCAGGAATAGAAAATTTGAACCTCTCTATTTGAGAAACTGTCTTTAATATTTTTAGGTGTTTAAAGAGCTGATTGTCTGGACCAGACATTTTGCGACTGGAAGAAATTTTGTTAAAGTGGGTAATATGTTTTTCTAAAACAAGATGTCTACAGGCAAGGAAAAGTAGTGGCTTCCCAAGCTTATATGGCATTCTTGTTATTACTCTGGTGCTTTCCGGTGTTGAAAGCAGTAGTATCAAAACATATACAATATATATGATAACTAAGCTTCTATTTTATTGTAAATTGCTTTGAACTGCATTTCTACAGCACCTGACTCAACAAGAAGGATGCCTAGTAGCTAAACCCAGTCACTTTCACTAGTACAGCTAATCTTCTCTTGTGGCTGAATTGTGATGATGATTCAGATAAAACAAAATCATTCATTTTTTCTCCTGAGATAGCTATAACACTGTTTATGATAGCAGTGTGGTAATTGACAGAAAGTCCCTCTACTTTTACAGTTATCACTGTACGCTTTAGAATATCTTTAGGCAGTACTATACTTTGTTCTTTTTCATGGATATTATCATTTAGCTCACTTGTACCAGTCTTGGCATTCTGAGCTTAAATAATTCAGTTTCTGAGCTATAAGATATATGCGTGTCTTCTTTTTCTGAGGATTTCTTTTTAGATTTTATTTTTGCAGATCTCTCAGCACCCTTTTTAAAGCTAATATTAGAACAGCCTAGACAACCATGTCTTTTTTCCTAATACATTTTCATAAACATGTCCATACATTAAGTTCTGTGTCCTCCAAGTTCCCAGAGAGCCTTCAGCTTAAATATAATGCAGCAGTTCTCTTTCGCTTCTAGACAATTTGGTGTAAATGTAGAATCTTTGTTTGAACAACAAAGTTTTAAAAAAAAAGGGTGGTTTGGAGTCTCATAGGTAAAGATAATAATGGATTATTTCTTCAACAGTTAAAAACTAAATAGATGATATTGTCTTTCTAGTTTTTTTTTAACTAAAAATATTTCTTTGCTTCTTTAAGCTTGTCTGTGCACCTTATAAGCTTCCGCTCTAGTTTAAAAAAAATTTTCACCTCAATCTGAACCACCCTAATATATATATATACATATATATATATATATATATATATATATATATATATATATATATATATATATATATATATATATGTATATATATATATATGCAGGGCTTGTGATGAAGAAAATTGTCAAGCGTGTTATATCGCGCTCGTAAAATTAGAATATGTTTTAATTGAGCGTGATTATGTGCGCTCGAGATAACATCGGCGAGCGCGATCATAAAAATTGCTGAAGATGATGCTCATAAAAATTTTTTTTGTCTCGAACTCTTCGACGAGCGTTATTTTATACGCTCGTTATAAGCTGAACGAGCATTGTTTATTGCGCCTAGAGCGTTGAAAATACCATTTACAGGCGCGTTTTATGAGCCGAGCGCGATTGCACTTGCTTCATCACAAGCCCTGTATATGATAATGATGATGATGATGATGATGATGATGATGATGATGATGATGATGATGATGATGATGATGATGATGATGATGATGATGATGATGATGATGATATCATAAATAATTTCAATTGATTTTTGTTTTAGGGCAATAATTGAAATTAACCTTTTTATTAGATGGATCAATTATTGTAAACTAATGTGATGGTGATGCTATCTTTCAGTTGGTTTAGATTTGTCTTAGCATTAAGTACCTTTAAATTTACAATATTAACTCAAGGTAAAAAAATTGTTCTAAATTTTATTTTTTGATTTTTACATATAAAATTTATTTTTTTAATGTTTATTTTTTCTGAACTTTTACTTTAATTTCATATTTATTTTATTTTTATGTAAATTATATTAAAGATTCATATATTTTTAATTTTAAACATTTTTTAACATTGCTTATTTAATAAGTTCTAATAAACAATATTTCAAATTTATGTTCAATGCAGACATCAGTTTATTTTAAAAATTTTAATTTACTTTTTGCATAAAACTATTTATTTACAATGTCTAATTTATCTTTTATTGTAGTAACTTTTGTTTCTTGTTAATTATATTAATAATTCATAAGTGTGAATTTGCATAAGGATTTGTAGTGATACCAATATTTTTTAATTTTTGGCACTGCCAGTTTTTTGCACTTTTGCAGTTTTGTTCATATGGATTTGAATTTTTTCAGCTTCTTAAATTATTTATGTTTCATTGGAGATCGAAGAACAATCTTTACGAGTCAAGTTAAGCAGTTCATGGTCTATATGCACTTACTTATATGATAACTTAACTAGTATGAGCTGTTGCTTCTGGTGCAAAGATAATAGGCACATTTTTTTACAAGTGCAAATATAATCTAAATATAGTATTATCTCTCTGCTGAAGCTCAGTAAACAATTTTTCATTTTATGAGATAGCTTACTTGCTGATATAAATTTATTTGTATATAAATAAAGTTAAAAAAAAACAACATAATAATGAAAAATTTAAAGTGTAAAAACTAAATTTTATGGTTCACAAAATAATGATCTAATTAACAGTTAATCATATATATAATCATATATACATATATATATATATATATATATATATATATATATATATATATATATATATATATATATATATATATATATATATATATATATATATATATATATTTATATATTTATATATATATATATATATATATATATATATATATATATATATATATATATATATATATATATATATATATATATATCAAAGTTTGCGAAATACACAATTTTTCTTACAATTAAAGTCTTCATATAAACAACATATAATCACCTACGTGATTATATGTTGTTTAAATGTTGAATTTCCGCTAAAAGTCCTACAGAAATTTAGTGGAAATTTTGCCTAGGTCCTCAATTTTTAATTTGGGCAGTGCCCATATACGGTTGAAACTGTCAAAAACGATCTAGAATTTAAAACTAATTAACCTGTTCATTATATATATATATATATATATATATATATATATATATATATATATATATATATATATATATATATATATATATATATATATATATATATATATATATATATATATATATATATATCTGTGTGTGTGTGTGTGTGTGTGTGTGTATGTGTGTGTTTGTGTGTGTGGGTGGGTGGGTGGGTGGGTGCGTGTGTAGGTATGTATGTATGTATTAGCAAAAACGCTCTATTTGTAGAATACACTAACATTATATATATATATATATATATATATATATATATATATATATATATATATATATATATATATATATATATATATATATATATAAACTATGAGTATACTAGTTGTAGTCAAGTTAATTACTCCAGCTTATTATAATTCAACCATAGTTGGCATATGATAATAAGCTGGAGTAATAACTACAAGTACAACTACAATTGTACTGGTAGTAAGCTAGCATCAACCATATGATGCTAGCTTACTACCAGTACAATTGTAGTTGGCAATGAACAGGTTAATTAGTTTTAAATTAGCTAAGTTAATGATTTATATAAAAAAAAATTTCAAATTACACAAATAAATCCATAACTTAAAATGATAGTTTGTTGGTAAGCAATAAAAAAAATATTTCAAAGTTCTTAAAGTATTACTCAGAAAGTGAATCTTATGTTTGATTGAAGGAAAGGAAATTTTTTTTTAGAAATGTTTTTAGTAATTTAATTAAATTGAAACACTAAAACAAAACAAAAAAGGAAAAATAAAAGCAATTTTAATATAACTAATCTATTGTTTTTGTTTTTGTGTGATGGTTAACTAGATACATTAGTTTTACAAAAGCTAATAATCTTGGTTAAATATTTACACTTATTTCTTAAATAATTTGTACATTTATACATGTTTTACGGGTGTTAGTTAAAGGAAACAACATGATTAAGATGTTAAAGTTTTGATTGCTATAGAAAAACTTTGTATGTAATGCCAAGTTTTAAGTTTCATTTTTAGTTCATCTTTAATTTTATATTATAAAATAAATTTATTCTTTTATTTTAAGATATATATATATATATATATATATATATATATATATATATATATATATATATATATATATATATATATATATATATATTTATATATATATATATATGCCTTTATTATAGTTAGCTTAATTGTGCTGTGTTTTATTGTATTAATAAGCATTGAATTAGTGAATTAGTGTCATGCTGTGTAATATTTGGTGTACTTAAATATTACTTGAAACTTATTATTATTATTTTTTTAATAGTTGTTTTTGTTATTAATAATAGTTGTTTTTGTTATTAATAATTAAATTATATTTTCATAATTACTTATTTTATTTATAACTTTAAAGGTCCAGTTGTTTTTTTTCAAAATATTTATAAATACTTTGCTTTTGATAAAAGATTTTATCTTTATATCATTTTATAATGTTAACACTTAATTTCACAATCACTAATCTTTGGGCGTTGCTTAATACCATTTTTTTTTGTTTGCTTTGAAAATGTGTAATTATCTTAATTTTGTATATGGCGTGGTATATACTATATTCTAAATTAGAATTATTAAAACGCTATAATAAAATGCAGTTTCTTTATGAAGTTTCCAAAAAAAAAATATTTTTATATTTAATTATTATAAATTGAAACCACAACGTGTATTCATATTTATGTTGCTAACAACAACATTTTAAAACCATATTGTTTGCTGTAATATTATCATGATTTGAAACAGACAAAATAAAAAAAAAATATTTTTTAATAAAATTTTAGGAAAGTTTTTTATTAAATAATTTTAAAAATTTTTGAAAACAATATTTATAACATTTGTTTATATTCTTGAGATGTTTGTTTAACTTTGTTTTGCATAGCTTTAATTTGTAAAAAGTATTATTGTCTAGTGGGTGTTCAGCTTTGTTTTGGATTGTTATGCTATCAAGCGGTTTATTTCTGCAGAGAATTTTATAATATTTGTTTTAATCCTTTGCTAAAGTTATCACTAAATCTGTACTAATTACTGCATACTTAGACACACTATAAAGATTTTTTTTAAAGGAATTTTTGTGTTACTGTACATATTTACAGATGAAGTAAACAATTGACAGAGAATTAGAAAGAATAACATATTGACTTATTAAAATGTATAATGGAGAGAATTGAAGGCATAAAAAGTATTTTGGAAAAATGATTTTTTTATTTTTTGTATCACAGCATGCTTTTATAATTATCTTGCTTTTCTCAGCCCTGAATACAAGCTTAGTGGTCACTGATGGAAATCTTGTTTCCTTACTATGCACTAGCAATATAAGCACCACCAAAGTGATATGGTTGAAGGATGGTCTACCGATTAATACAAAGTCTCAAAAAAAAATCTATAATTTAAGGAGAGAAGGATATCTTCTAAAATTTAAAGCAAACTCTGAGGCAGAAACAGGCATTTATACATGTGCAGATTTTTCAACTAATCGTATTGGCAGAAATCTAATTTCCTTTAATGTAACTTTGAGAGGTAAGACTTGATTTTATAGATATATGAACTTGATTTTTATAAATATATGAGTATTATTGTTAATTCACACAAAATTATTATTATTGTTTTAATTTTAGTTTAATAAAAGTATTCTGTACACAATTTAAATATAACAAATATTTAAGAATTATTACTATTTATTTTTTCTTTGATTTTTATGTATATAAACCATATAAAGAGGCTCACAGTTAGGCAGGCTTTTTTAAAACTATGTAATATATTTCAGCCTTTTTGTATATACTTTTTTAAATTTCTTCAGCTCTTCAGTTTTTTGTATATGCTGTATATTATTTGTGTTGAAAATATTTTTGAGATATTTATAGTATTCCATATCAAATTTTCACAATATTAGGAGTTTTTTTTTTAAATCTGTTCAAAACATTTTTTTTATTGATAGCTTTAAAATATATACAACATTTCACACACACATACATATACAGATTTATATATATATATATATATATATATATATATATATATATATATATATATATATATATATATATATATATATATATATATATATATATATATATATATTTGTACAGATACATATATGATCTTTGCTTACTTGTTCTTGATCAAATCTTGAATTTATAAAAAATGACTAAAATTTTTATGGTTTTATAAATTAAAACTTTCTTCATTAAAATATTTTTTAATGAAAAAATTTTGCTGGCTTATATAGCTTCAGCAATATATTTATGGAAAATGATTTTATTTAGTAACTATATTAGTTGCTGCACTAGTTTAAAAAAGAAAAAGTAAAAGTTGATTGTAGAGGCATTAACAATCTCATCTAGCATATTGTTTCAAGTATTTGCAACTTGATTACTGAAAATATTAAACTGAACCAGCTAGTTTCCATTAATTTTAAACTGAACAAGGTAGTTTCCATTAATTTTAAACTTAACCAGCTAGTTTCCATTAATTTTAAACTGAACCAGGTAGTTTCCATTAATCTTAAACTGAACCAGCTAGTTTCCATTAACTTTACATTAAAAGTGCTTGTAATAATTATAGTTGGAGTATAATGTGTCAACTTGATTGTGTTTTCAAACTATACAATATTAATATTTATAAATTTTTACATAGTTATACAATAATAGAGTTTTATAATGTAGTTTTACTATATTGACTATGAATTGTTGTACAGTATTTGATTCAGAAAAACAAATTTATATTATTATTGTACAGTATTTGATTCAGAAAGAACAAATTTATATTATTTATATTGTTCAATTTGAGTCAGAAAAACATATTGAAGCCTAAATACAAGCACTTGTTTATAGTGATACATTTTTTGCTGTATTGTTTTTTGTCAGAAGCCTGTATTTAAGTTTTAGCTTCAACCTATTGAAGCAAAAATTGTTCTTTGTTAATGTTGTAAAGTAATGTTGCACAATTATAAAATTATTTATGACTTTTTATTTAGATTCTGTTACTAGCCCTAAAGAAGGAAAACTTCGATTTACAGACAAAGCTCGTATGAATAACCAAAGGCACACTGTTAGCCCTGCAGGAGACGAAGTAACTTTTCACTGTGCTGCAGAAGGTGCTAATCCAATAGTTTATAAATGGAAAATGAATGGGAAGATATTGCTTTCTAGGCGAGTAGATTCGTCTCTTGAAACAGATAAACCTACTTTACTTTTAAAAGATATAGTTAAATCTGATTCTGGCAATTATACATGTATTGCTGAAAATTTATATGGTTCTATTGAATATAATTTTACTTTGCAAGTTCAAGGTATTTTTAAATTTATTCTAATTCAATGTGATTTTAAATCTAATTTTTAGGCTTATTTATGCTTTTGTTTATTTAGAAAGGCTTCGTGTTGGACCTTATCTGGAGAAAGGTCTCCAAAATCAAACTGTTCTTGTAGGTTCTAATACTACTATAGATTGTTATGAGTTAATTAGTGGTACAATACCTGATTTTCGCTTTTTAAAGTGGAAAGTGAAACCTGACATGAACCTTTTAAATGAAATGATATCTGATAGTACATTTAAAAAAAAGTTTGTGGAATTGCTTGATCCTGGTAGCTATGACTCTGTTTCTAAAAAAACTTCTCGTATGAATGAGCAAAATAATCTTTATGGTGTTCAATTAAGGCTGCAAAATGTGTCTGTTAACGATTCTGGTTATTATACATGTCTTGTGAGTAACCATATTGGTAGTGATTATGTCACAATGTATTTAGATGTTAGAAGTAATACTGGTAAATAACTTTTCTGGCACAGTTTTACCTAAATGTTTTTTTAAGAAAATGTAAATTAAGTATGTTTAAATATTTATTAATTCCGATTTATAAAATTTTTTTTCAGACCATATGCAGTTACAAAAAAAGACTAACATTGTTCCAACCTCAAGTTTAAAAAACAAAAGAATGGTAATAGCAGTGGTTGTACTCGGTGTGTTGTGTTGTATTGCTCTAACAGTATTTGTTTACATGTACTGGAACTGGAAAAAAAAAATTAGTTCAAAAGTTTTGAATGAAAATGTTTTACTAAATGAAGTTAAATTGAATATCGATAAAAATAGACCCATAAGATTGCGTAATTTCTCTAGTGGTGGTTCTGATTCTACTTTTCCTCTATTAAATAATGGAAGCATCCGAAATGGCGGTAGTGTTCGAAGCAATTCTGAATCAAAAGCAATGTATCCAGGAGATTTAGATGGTTAGTATTTGTTTCTTTTTTCTTATTTTTTTAAATAAATTTTAGATAACTTTTGTAATTTAAAGCAATTAATTTTTTTCTTTTCTAGATGTTTTTGAAATTCCATTTGATCCAGAATGGGAGGTTGACAGGGATTGTTTACACATAACAGAAACACTTGGTGAAGGCGCTTTTGGTGTTGTTGTCAAAGCAGATGCTGTTGGTTTAAAAAAGTGTGAAGAAAATCATACAACCGTTGCTGTTAAAATGTTGAAAGGTATTTACCTAAATTTTGTTTTTGAATAATTAGATGAATTAGATGAATTGATCATTCATTGATCAATTTGATGATTAATGATGATTTTTGAGCTGATTCCTTTTGATAAATAAAACTATTAAAAGATTCTATTTTCTCAGTAAACCATATACACTATAAATCTCTATATAATTTGAAACTTAAATTTTTTTTTTATATAAATCAATTTTTTTATATAGTTTATAATATTTTTTATATAAAAAGTGTGAAAGTTCAATGGAAAAATTTTGCATGTTTACAATCTGTCTTTAAAAAAAAGATGAATATAACCACTAAGAATAATGAGTGCTATTTTGAAGTGAGGGAAAAAGAAAAAAAAAAGTTCACAAAAATGTTGTAATTTAAAAGAAATAAGATAAGCAGAAAAAAGTAAATATCATTTTGAAAAAATTAATTAAAAAGAAAAAAATTGGAAAAATTTGAAAACAAAATGACAAAAACCTTCCAGGTAAAAATATTTAAGTTTTCTTTTAAGAAAATAGCTCATGTTGTTTTCGCAATGGTTTCCATCATCTATTATTTGTAGTGGTATATATTGAGATGAAAAGAACTGATTTATTAGTAGTTAATGATAAACAAAATGCTTCTCTCAATTCAGTTAAGATTATTATGCTTATTAAAAATTGATTGATTAGTTATATTAATATTATGGAATATATTAAATTACTTTTTAATCAACTGCAATAAAACTTCCTAAAATACTGATAAATCAAACCACTTTTTTATGGTACTAGTTTTTTAGTGTTTTTTTTTTTTTTTATAAAAAAACCATACCTTTTAACTTTTTTGATACAATATACCATGCAGGATACTTTTAAAAGGTATTAATTTTAAAAATTTAGTTTCTTTATAACTTTTTATCAGCACTATCAATGAACCCTTACAAACAAACCCTTACTAGTTATATATTTTGATAAATTAAGACATATTTTAAATAAATTCTAATTAAAACAAATTTAAATAAATTAAAAAACAAACAAATTTAAATAAATTTAAATTAAAATAAGTTTAAATCAATTCTTAATTGGTTGGTTTTAGTTAATAAAATACTTGCACAATTTTTCAGCTGATGCAACTGAAAATGAGCTCTTAGATCTTCTCTCTGAAATGGAAACAATGAAGCAAATAGGACGTCATATTAATATAATAAATTTTTTGGGTTGTTGTACTCAAAGTGGTAAGAAATATTTAATTATTTTATTTTATGCTATAATCGATTGTGCTCATTATTTGTTTAAATCATCATTTTTTTCTAAAATGTTGTTTTTACAAATAATGATAGTCAATTGAAACAAAATATGAAATTAAATAATGATAGTTAACTGAAGCAAAATAATGCAGATAATGTGAAGACAATGAAGACATGTATATATACAAAGTAAAAGTATTAATAATAATATATGTATATATAAATGTGTTTTTATATATATATATATATATATATATATATATATATATATATATATATATATATATATATTATATATATATAAACACATTTATATATACATATTTTATTATTAATACTTTTACTTTGTATATATACATGTCTTCATTGTCTTCACATTATCTGCATTATTTATATTATATATATACATATATATATATATATATATATATATATATATATATATATATATATATATATATATATATATATATATATATATATATATATATATATATATATATATATATATATGTATGTATGTATGTATGTATGTATGTATGTATGTATGTATGTATGTATGTATTAATGTTAATTCACCTCCCCCAGGCCAAGAAGGCCATTACAGACAAGGCTACTTAATTCTGGTTGTAACTTAATATAGTTTTTATAATTTTTTAGACCCAGTTTATGTCATAGTTGAGTATGCTCCTAATGGTAACTTGAGACAGTTTTTGCGATCCAAACGGCCTCCCATGTCTGACAATGGTTATAGAAGTGACCCATTACTTTCTGTGAAAGATATTGTATCTTTTGCTCTTCAAATTGCAAAAGGAATGGAATATCTTGCTTCAAAAAAGGTTTTAGTTTTATTTTAAATCATTAATTGTATAATTTTACTCTATATTTGATAAATAATGTAAGTTAATATAAAATTAGTAAAAATAATGTTTATTAAAATTTATTAAACTCTCTAGTTAATAATTTTATAATTAATAATTCTATAGTGACTTAGAGTTTTAGTTTCAAAAAAACTCTAAAATTAAGGAAAAAGTTCTCTACTATTAAGAAACAGCAGAATTTAATTTATTTGAAAAGTTGAGAAAAGATATTTGAGCTCTACAACAAAACAAACAAACTCTACATCTTTTGATGTAGACTTAAATTTATTTTTTTAATTTTTTATTAATTTTTTATTTTGGACTAATCTAGAGTTTTATGTAAAAAAAATGTAAATAAAAACTCTTAATAAAAGATTGTAAAAAAAAAAAAAGAATAAATTAAAAACTCTTTAATAAAAGATTGCAAAGAAAAAGAATAAAATAAAAACTCTTTATAAATAATCATTTTGAATATTCAGTAGCTTACCTTTATTTATTATTATTAATAAAAGTTTTTTAATTTTTTTTATTAATGGATAGAACATATAAGTGTAAAATTGTTTAAAAAAAAATTATAGTGCATTCATCGTGACCTTGCAGCACGCAATATTTTGGTTACTGAAGATTACATTATGAAAATAGCTGACTTTGGTCTTGCAAGGAGTGTTCATGAAATTGATTACTATAGGAAAACTACAGATGTAAGCTTCAAAATGTATTTATTCTTTTAAAATGTTTATAAAATTGTGTTTTTAAAATACCTGTTAAATTAAATTATTATTAAATATTTTGTAGGGTCGTCTACCAGTAAAATGGTTGGCAATTGAAGCACTTTTCGATCGAGTTTACACAACACAAAGTGACGTTTGGGCATTCGGAGTACTTTTGTGGGAGATATTTACACTTGGTGGTTCACCATATCCAGGTATTCCTGTTGAAAGACTTTTTGATCTTCTTAAATCAGGATTTCGTATGGAAAAGCCACAGGTCTGCCCTCAAGAAACGTATGTTTTTTGTTTTAAATTATTAAATTTTATTTTTTTAATTTTTATTTTGTGATAAGATTTAATTTTATATGTTTGCAATAAAATGTTTTCAGTTATGAAATAATGGTCAAATGTTGGTATGAAAATCCCAGTCATCGACCTAGTTTTTCAGATCTGGTTCTTGAGTGTGAAGAATTTTTGGAAGAATTAACTAATTTGGTAATCTTATTTATTTCCATCTTATAATTCTTTTCATTCACATCTGTATTTATTTTCATCTTTTGTTTTTTTTTATCTACTTCTCTTAGATTTTTTTGCTTTTTTTCTACTATATTTCCTTTTTTTTAATTAGGATTACTTAGAAGTTTTAAATCAGTCTACTGATTCATTAAACTCCTTACCTTCAGAAAAGAGGGAAAGTGACGAATCGTACAACTCTAGTGTGGTTGATTGCAATTTTCGAAATCCATTAGTTTGAATAGTATTTACAATCAATTTAACATTGTTAAAAAAAATTTACATCAAGTTATAAAGATTGTTTATAAGAATCTTATAGTGGTTTAATGGTGATACGCTCTCAAAAGGTTTTTATAGTTTAATCGAAGCTGATGGTGACCGTGTTGTGTTGTCTTGGTGACCGTGTCACGTTGGCAAAAAAATATAGTTGAAGACTATTCTTATAAAAATTGAGAAAAACTAGTTGGTAGTATACGCTGCTTTGATTATATTCTATTGTAAAAGTTTTTTACAAACGATGCAATAGTTCATTGTAAATCTTGTTGCTAATGATGCAAAAAATCGTCCAAAATTTTGCTGAAAGCTAAACGATGTTATAAACGATATAAACGATAAACGATACCATAAACGATGTACCCTGCAATAATAGTTCAATAGTTTAAAAGAAATATTTTTATTTTTATTTATATATTCCGACAGATTTGTAAATATATTTGTTTTTTGATTTCTATTTTCTTCGTTTTTCTTAATTAAACAGTCTTTCAAATTTACTTGTTGTTTCAAATAATTTATATTTTGAATAATCTTTTAATATAGTTCTTCTATAAAATTTTCTTAAACAACCTTGCTCCTAAAGTTCAATTATCTAAAATTGATTTCGGTGTTTTATTTAAAAGCTTTTTTATAACAATGTTGTTAACATTTCAAGATTATTTTTTTAAAGTCTTTAAAAGAGAGAATTTATACTATTTTTATTTTATTTTATTTTGAATTTGATTTTTTATTTTGCGCCTAAAATGTAAATATATATATATATATATTTTTTTGTAAATGTTTACGAATTTTATATATTTTTTTTCATTCTTTTTTGTTGTTATTTTTTTGTTTGTTTGTTTTTTATACTATCTTAGTAATTTTTTTTTTTACGCATCTAGGTTAATTTTTCTTCGTTATTTTTCTTCAATTAACTTATAAAAATAGATTTCCTTTATTTGATGTTGTTTTTTATTTGCTGTTGTTATTTCTTAGATTTATAGATTATTTTTTTAATACAGTAAAATAAATTAAAAGCAAGAGAAAAACATTTGAAATACCGTGAATAATTTTTTTTTTTTCCTCATTTCAATAGCAAAACTTTTAAGCGTGAATCTGCTAGAACATGCTTGTTTGTTGATAGAAAAAGTTTTTTTTAGTAAAGAAAAACTTTAAAAACTTTTGACACAATGAATCGAAAGCAATGACAAATCGTGAAAATACTCACCATGAAATTCTTATTAACACAATAGAATTTATAATTTTTAGTATAAATGGCGATTTACAAGTTACTAAATTGTAAACATTTTGATTACGCTAAACAAAAATTCAAATCGTTAGATATTACTTTCACCTGTCAAATTAAGGGGGGTGCAGGCTGTTTATTAATTTTTTACTTTCAGCATATCGTCACTTAAAAGCGAGAACGCACGATCTAGATTTTTTGCTTAGTAGAGAAAAATTTTCTCCCCTAAGAAAAAAACCTAGATGGTGCGTTCTTGCTTTGAGGTGACGAATTATTTTCATGTTCATCAATTTTCATGCATAAACACTCAGTTCAATTATATCATAATTAAACTGAGTGTTTTATGTTCTAACATAGTGTTTTATGTTCTAACATGGGGGGCTTAATGATAAGATGAATTTTGTCTTCTTCAAGCCCCAGTCATGTAAATATTTGTTTTTATAAATTACGAGTGTAAATTATTTTCAATCGGCAAATACAATACTAAAAAAAAAAAAAAAAAAAAAAAAAAAATAACAAGAAAATTGACAAAAAACCTAGATGGTGCGTTCTTACTTTGAGGTGTCGATATTAGGATCCCCCTCTCTCTCACCCCCACCCCCCAATAAATCTCCGTTTATTCATTTCGAAGTAATGTAAAATAGATTTGCAATTTTTTACCCAAAGAAACCATTTTACTTTACATTTTACATTACTGTAAGAAATTATTTTTTTCTTACCTCAAAAGTGTTAAACGAAAAACAAATTACGTCGAAACCTCTCCATCATTTCATATTTTTTCACTCCATATTTTTTTTTTTTTTTTTTTCTTTTTCAGGTATACCATATTTATATGGTATACGATTTATCGTGAGAAAAAAAAAAGAATGCATATATACAAAGTTATTATGTATTAGATTGACAAAAATATATTAATATTATATTGATGCAAACTTTATTATAAATTTTGGTATAATAACTATTATATATACTTATTTTTCCAAACTATAAAACCTAAAAAAGGGAAATCAAAGAAAGTTCAGCTTTTTTGGGTATAAAACTCCAAAAAATCTTTTTGCAAATTCTCAACAAAAGATATACGTCGAATGGCCCAAACAGCGTCATTCGGCGTATACCTTTAGATATACGCCGAACATATATGTTTATGTAAAAAGTTAAGTAAATTTAGTAACAATTTTTTTGTAATTAGCTTTGTAATTACTATTTCTACTGTTATCGTGGATAATGATTTATAAAACCAAATAGAAATTTTATTTTTTGATCAAAGAAAAGAGAAGTATTTTAAACTAGTTTTCTTTTTAAATGGAACTCCTGGGGCTGTATTCATGTTTTTAGAAGTTTGAAGTTTTCTTAAAATTCCGAACCTACTGATTAGCAATAAACTGCGGTAAAAAAAAAAACAACACGAATAAAAGTTTTTTGAACATGTAAGATAAAAGAATGCAACTTTGCTAAATGAAGAGTCAAGCGAGAATAAGTTTTGGTTGATGGAACTGGAGATGATAATAACAACCATGATATTATTTGTAGAAAATAGATGCAACCTTATGACAAGGGAAGACTAGCTTTATCTAGACAGATAACGCAGGTCCAATTACAATACGTTTCTTGTATAAAAAACATAAAAACATACCTGTTTTTGTACAAAAAACCGTTTTTTCGTTTTTGAACCTTATCTAGATGAGAAAGAACATTATTAGAAGAACCAACCCAAATATGACAATATTTGTGTTTCATACAGGGACGAATAAGAGACTTTTAGAGGTAGAGAATAATAAGCAATAGAAAAACGAGAAGCACAATTAAGTAAGACAACCTTTGCAGATGCTAACGTTGTAATGGATTGTACGAATTTACTTTAATTGATTATACTTTGTATGGTTTCTATAAAAGGTTAGTAGTGAACAAAAATCCAAGAAGACGTAAAGAAAAATCCAAGAAGACAAATCAGTGACAGGATTGCCATTTATTAATATAGGAATGTTGACAATATTGCGATAGTTTTAAAATTCACAAGCCACTGCAAGCCCTAAGCTTTTAAAGAAATGAGATCAAATTTAAAATCGCTGCCACTTTTAAATTTTGAATCGAAGAAAGCAGACTTTATGTAAAACCAGGAGTATAAAGTTGATTCTTCTTCTATTCAAGCCACTTTAGATTTAAGGCTGTCATAAAAATTGTGTAGATAAGAAACAATACATGACCAAAGATAGAAGCATTAGGTACCCCAAAAGTTACAGGAAATGAAGAAGAGTTTTAACCATTGAGAATGACTTTAATAAGCTTTTCAGATACTCATGTGAAGCTGGCTTATGGAGAAGACCAATATGCCAAATTTTTTTCTAAAGTTTTAGGTATGTCAAGAGAAAAACCTTGCCGCTTCTATCTAATATACACGATATACACGATAAAAATCTTTTTGTTACAGTAAGGCAGGAGGTAATGTGAATTAACGGGGTAATCGGGGTCAAATTCATATTTATATGCTATATAGATAATGGCTTTAGGTATGAAAGTTTTTAATTTTTACCACTTTGTTATAATATACTAAGCTAATTAATTTTAAAATACAACCCAGCTATGCCGTTAGAAAGTACTTTTTAGCTAAAATCATATAAACATCAACACAGTAATTTTTTTCTCAGTTTTTAAACTTCAGAGAAAATATATTTAAATATGGCTTAAGCGTATGGAAAATCGACATTATAAAAGCTTAAATATTATATTTTCAGGATAGTATAGCTTTTAGTCACTAATACACGTGGTTTGTTTAAAATTTAAAATATAATCGGTTTTTATTTGTATAAGACAATATGTTCACCTAGGTAAAAAAAAAATTTGTGCTATAATATTTTATTTTGTGAAGTATTATCATTTATGCAATTTTATTTCACCTAAAATTTAGTATATTTTTTATAAACATTACATTAGAAAATTAAAAGATGCCAAGAAGTTATAATTAAAAAATTAAAATCCAAGTACAATGCTGATAGTATGAATCCAAGTACAATGCTGATAGTATGAATAGAGCTTTTATGTTTATATAGAACTATCTGTTTGAAAACTGCTATTTTACTTAAATTTCAATTATCTACTCAACTTTTTATTTATTTATTATTTATTTGTCATTAAAAAAAGAATACAATGCCGTGTTATGTAAATAAAATCTACATGACCGGGGCTAAAAGAAGACAATATTTGCCTTATCACTACACCCCAACGTGCTTTCATCAGCAAGCTTGTATAACCATTAAAATGTAAACATAAAACATAAAATTACTTTGTACCATTTTAAAATTATATACAAATATATACAATTATGTTAAGATCAGTTACAAATCTATAATCAAAAGAAAATCGTAAAAAAAAAAAAGTAACCACACCTAAAAACTAAAGATAAGTTAATAGGATAATTTAAATTGTTTAGACTAGTTAATAAGATAGTTGTTAAAAGTTAATAAGATAGTTGTTAAAAGTTAATAAGATAGTTGTTAAAAGTTAATAAGATAGTTGTTAAAAGTTAATAAGATAGTTGTTAAAAGTTAATAAGATAGTTGTTAAAAGTTAATAAGATAGTTGTTAAAAGTTAATAAGATAGTTGTTAAAAGAGAAGATAAAAGAATCTTAAAAAGAATTTATTTTATTAACATCGTTAAGAAGTTTTTTTTTTGAGTTTTTGTTTAAATAGAGAAAGTGAAGAAAAATTTTTCAGCTGGTTATTTAATAAAGTGTTCCAAAATTTAGGACCTCTGATGGCAACAGAAAATTTAGTAACCAAATAGCGTATTTTAGGTTGCTCGTAATTGTAGTTTGAAAATCTTGTAGGGTACACGTGATTAATTTTATTAAAAAGTGTATTAAAAATTATTGGAGTTAATTTATTATGTAGTTTGTACCTAAATATAAGAATTTGATAAAAGTTTAACTGAAGAACATTTAGTATGTGATGATTTTTAAATAACTCTTTAGAATGTGCGAATCGACCTGCATTTGAAATAATCCTCACAGCGTGTTTTTGTCTACTAAGCAATTTTTAACTTTACTTACATTAGAGCTGCACCATGCAATATTTGCATAGTTTATATAACAATGTGTGAGGGAGAAATATAAGATTTTTAAGCAGTTTTGGTTTAAAATTTGCTTAGCTTTGTATAGTATGCCAATATTTTTTGAAATTTTTTTTCAATTGTTTTTATGTGTTCTCTCCATGTCAGGTTTTCGTCAAGTATCACTCCTAAAAACTTTAATGATGACTCTCTAATT